GTCGTTGCTTTTTAATAGTTGTAATTTGGGTGATCGTGGGAGAGTGACACTGGGGACCATCTATTCTGTCATCTTGACTGGAAGTCCACTAGCTGGTCTTGAGGCATCTCCACGCCAAGCTGGGGTGTCTGTCTCGGCTGTGGACCATAGCGGTTTTGTGGGTAAAAGTGAAACAGCTCTGTCCCCACACCTAGCTCAGGCCCTTGTTCTTAAAAGAGACAGGATGTCCTTTTAAGAGTAGTTGCTTCTTGAAGGAAGGGAGGAAGGGAATCAGGGTCTCCACACTGACCAGAACCCGGCCCTCGGTCTCTTGTGTGCTCTGCACCGTGCTTTCTGCCAAGAGTCACCCCTGCCATGCTTCCTACAGTCAGCATAGTGGTTTTCTTCCGGGTGGAGGTGACAGCTCACTGGACGGCTGGATGCTGCACTCTTGCAGGTCTCGTGCTTGGGAGAACACTGGCCTTCAAAGCCCCCTGGGCCCTGACCACCACAGAGGATGCTCTTGTCCCTGAGTTGGCATGGGACAGGATGTCAGGTGAACCACACCGGGGCTGAGACTTCTAGTCCCCTTGCTCAGGATCTGGCAGCAGAGAGGCTGGGTTCAAAAAAGTTCCACTGTGCAGAATTGCGTGAGGTTTGACATTGCGACCCTGTGTTGTCTTGCGAGCATATAAAACGACAGTGATGCCTGTGGCACCTGCGAGTCATTCGGGCCCAGCATGAGAGCAGCAGAGGAGCAGCTGCCGCCACAGCTCGCCCAGAGCAGACACGGAGCACGAGGCCTCGCGGCAGCTCCCTGCCTTAACATCGGAACGCCCCCGCAGGCGGGACAGCAGCTGCCCTCGCATCTGGAAGCTGTCTTCAGCCCCTGCGATCTCAGCAGACGGTCTTCTCTGCTGCCTGCAGGTCTCAGGGGTATGCTGCCTGCATACCCGGGAGGGTTGCTTTGTCAGGTGGCTTCATTTATGACACAGGCTGCCTTCAAGGTGGAAATTGGCCAGTATCAAATGCTCTAGCTACTTCAGCTTGAAGCTCCCAGAACTGGCGTAGGGAGGACTTCTGCGCAGGGGCGGCTGAGAGCATGAGTGCTCGGCAGGGCCTGCTCTCCAGCCGTCCACACCGCCCAAACAAGGGCGCTGGAGGTGGCAAGGCCTCTCGTGTACGTCTGGAGAACAGTGTAAGTGGACGGCAGAACCCTGTACCTGATTGCTCCACCAAAGGAACAGAAAAGGAAGCCAACAGCGTCTTTGACCATTCTGGAGACGTACGTGGTATAAAGTGACACAGGATAATCACAGGGTCCAGGGTCGCAGGGGCAGGACCACATGCTTGCTTATCTCGACCTGGTACAGATGTGTAAATAGGTCAGCTCTCCTCATTAGAGTCTTTCTTTTCTCAACGGGTACTTATGGCAGTACCACAGGTAAGTGGCCTTTCTTTATTGTGCCCTAATCACGGTTTTTGTTCCTTGCATCTGAGCTAGAGGAGATATTGTACCTGTGGCCAAGGGGTCAATCCCTATTATTGAACCTGCATCAGTTTTTCCCAGGGTCCACTGATAGTGGATCTAGTTTCTGCATTTGGTGTGTTTTCCCACCACTTTCCCTGGGCCCCTTTCCCCTCAGAAGGCAGGTATGCACCGGCTCAGATCGTGGTGTCCTTAGTTTATGCAGCGGGCCCTGTCCAGACATGTATAGGAGTCAGGAAGGGGCAGGCCTGTTTCCGCAACAGAGGACCTATTTTTCCCAGGAATGTGAAAGGAGGAAAAACAGGAAGAAGGTTGTTCAGAGAAACCTACAACTTCGATGTTTTTCTGAGTTGGGATAAAAGAAGAAAGGTCAGTCAAAATTGCAGAATTGCTTCCTGCACCTGTGGCCCACTGTGGGGGCCCTGTGCCTCTCCCCTTAAGAGCCAGGGGAGGCCACCATCCATGCAGCAGTCAGTGCGTGCCGCACGCCTCGGGCCTGGCCTGCAACAGTGCATGGCCCTGCCTCGTCTGAGCATCTGCCCTGGAGCACCGAGGGGTGCGGCTGGCTTCCTCAGGTTGGGTTGAAAAAGCACTTGGTTTACAGCGCCCTGCAGTTCGTCTTCTTTTTTTACTTGTTTTCTTCCAAGTTGCAGGACAACCACTTGCCAACCTGGTCCCTCCACTCTTGGACCTGTTCTCTTACCCAGGTTCTCGGCGGCTCCTGTTCTTCCTCATTCCTGCTTCCCTTTCTGTGTCCTCTCTGTTTGGTTTAGTGGACCTGGGGTACCGCTTATCGGGTGCTGGGGCACCTTTGTCAAAGTTACGTGACCGAACACACATGTGGTCTGTTTCTAGATGCTCTTTCTGGTCCATGGGTCTGGGTACCGTCTGTATGACGTGCCTTGCTCTCTCGATCGCTGTGGCTTTGCAAAACGTCTTCAACTCAGGATCTGTCAATCCTCCAACTCTGTTCTTTTTAAAAATTGTTTTGGCCGTTCTAGGTCCTTCGCATTATCATGTGACTTAGAATTCCTACACAGAGGCCTGCTGGCATCTTGCTTGGGATGGTGTTGAATCTAGAGATGAGTATGAGGCGGCGAGCTGGCAGCTTCCCTTCCTCTGCCCTCAGCGTGGCCCATGATTGCGTGTGTCATCCTGTGCTCTCTGCCCTGTCTGGTCTCAGGGGACGAGATCCTTGCAGCCCCTAGAGTCGCGCACTCCTCGCACATAAAGCTGTCTGCCGCACGCAGAGCGCAGCTGTTGGCCAGCTGAGCCGGCAGCTGCTTCCACCTGCAGCCTAGTCACGTTGCTGTGGGCCGGGCCTGGGTGACAGTCGCGGGAGCCCGCGGCGCCTTGCCTGCCCCGGCCCCCTGCGCACAGCTCACGGGTCCGCCGGCTGCCCTGAGCGGTCCGAGCGTGGTCAGCAGGACTGTGGTGTGCACCGCTGCGCCCCGCGGGCCTGCACCTGCTGGGGCGCGCTCCCTCCAGCCTGCGCCGCGTGCCTGCGTGCGTGCTTATGTGTCTGTGTGCCTGCCTGTGTGCGTGCGTGCTTATGTGTCTGTGCGTCCGCCTGCCTGCGTGCGTGCCTCCGTGCGTGCTTATGTCTGTGTGCGCCTGCGTGCGTGCCTCCGTG